GCATTACAGTGTACAGTGCATTTTGGTTCTAGTAATCCGTGATAGCAGGGCTAAAAAAGCGCTGAAACCAGCCAAATGCATCGTTTGCGTGACAAGTGCGTTACAATGTACACTGCATTTTTTAAATATTGTATTGTTTTTTCCTGGTTTTTTTTGCACTACAAATAAGGTCAGTGAACTGGCTCTCTGTTTAAAAGGTTTGAAGACTCCTGGTTCAGGCATTCTCATGTTTTTTCTTTTGTTTGTATTGGTATGACACAAAAAAAGTGGAGAAACAAAAAACCAAATCTGACACATTCCATGCAACATCCCAAAAATGGACTGGACAAAATTATTGGCACCCTCAGTTTAATATTTGGTAGCACACCCCTTGGAAAAAATAACTGAAATCAACCGCTTCCTGTAACCATCAATACGTTTCTTACACTTCTCTACTAGAATTTTGGACCAATCTTCTTTCGCCGACTGCTCCAGGTCTCTCAGATTTAAAGGGCTTCTTTTCCCAACTGCTGTTTTGAGACCTCTCCACAGATGCTCTATGGAATTTAGATCTGGACTCGTTGCTGGCCAGTTCAGTACTCTCCAGCGCTATGTCTTAAATTATTTCTGGGTGCTTTTTGACGTGTGCTTTGGGTCATTGTCCTTCTGTAAGACCCATGTCCTCAGACAGAGACCCAACTTTGACATTGAGCCCTACATTGCACCCCTGAATTCTTTGGTAGTCTTCAGATTTCATAATGCCATGCACACGGTCAAGATATCTAGTACCTGAAGCAGCAAAGAAACCCCAAATCATCAGTGAACCTCCACCCTGTTTAACTGTAGGGACTGTATTCTTTTCTTTAAAGGCCTCATTTCTTTTTTTCTTAAAATAGTAAAATGATGACACAACTGTTGCCTTAAAGGCGGCCATATTGGGATTTTTATGAGCACTTGGTTCATCAAGGTTTGGGGGACCTTTGCCCCCCTCCCCTCATGCTCAACTTTGGAGGAATCCCTATTTCACTCACTTTAACTATGTGGATCCGACTGTGTGGATGCGCTATAGGAATAAAAAACTTAGCGTTATAGTGCATAATGGGGTCTTGCAGCCCTTTTGATGAGTTGAAGGCTCTTTACTACCTCCCAAATACTCAGTTTTTTAGATATATACAACTTATACATGTATATCAATCACAGTGTGGGAGTGCTCGAGTTTCCTTTGTGCCCTCTTAATTAGAAAACTATGCTGTGGGATTAGGACTTGCTCAAACCTTTGTCTGCTATATAAGATTCTGTTCCCTCCAACTCATACATTACTCATCCAGTGTAGGTCTAGCTGGGAATCGGTAGTCCCTGGCCTCGTTACTGAAGATTTAGTGACATTTGGGATGCCCCATTTGTCAGGCTTGTTTCTGCTCGAGATCAACTCATACATTATAAATTTGTTCATCGTATTTATCTGACCCCCGCTAGGCTGGGGCAGATTTTATGCATGTCTTCTGGGACTGTCCGGCTATCCAGCTGTACTGGACTGGAGTGCTCCAGTGTGCTTAGGTTGTTACTACTATACCCCTCAGGCCATCCATAAGACACTGTCTTTTGTGCTTAGTGGATGATTTAGCTCCCACTAGAGCTATAAGTACTCTTCTTACACTTCTATTTTATTATCTTGGAAAAAAACTCAGGCTCTGACTGTTGCAGCCTAGATGGCTCTCATAAACAAGGCCCTTCCGTTATACAAGGATATTTATGCTAATAGAGCCGTACCCTGTTTTGGCAAACTCCAATCTGGCCTTTTTCTGTTTCTGTGTCAGCAATGGGGTCCTCCTGGATCTCCTACCATTTCGTCCCTTTTCATTCAGATGGTGACGTATAGTGTGAGCTGACGTGGTTGTGCCCTGTGCCCGAAGGTCAGCTTAAATTTGTCTGGAAATTGATCAAGGTTTTTTATCCACTATTTAAACAATCCTTCGTTGCAATCTTTCATCAATTTTTCTCTTTCATCCAAGTCCTCGGAGGTTAGTTACACTGCCATTGGCTGTAAACTTCTTGACAATGTTGTGCATAGTGGACACAGGAACATTAAGATCTTTGGAAATGCACTTGTAACCTTGAGACTATCCATGCTTTTCCACAATTTTTATTCTCAAATCCTCAGACAATTCTTTGCGGCTCTTTCTCTTCTCCATGCTCCATGTGGCACACAGAGACACACAACAGAAAGGTTGAGTCAATTTTTCACCATTTTAACTACTTGCCGGTGTGTGATTTCTATATTGTCAGCACCTGTTAATTGATACAGGTGAGTTTAATTACAAATTTCAAGAGCATCACAAACTTGGGATGCAATTACTTCTTACAATTTTGAGAAGCTGTCAATAATTTTGTCCAATCCATTTTTGGAGTTTTGTGTGGAATGTATCAGATTTGGATTTTTGTTTCTCCACTTTTTTGTGTCATACCAATACAAACAAAAGAAATAAACATGAGAATACCTAAACATTTGTAATTGCAACAATTTTCTAGGCGAAGTGGTGCAATATCTGGCAGAAATACAGGAGTGCCAAGAATTTTGGCCATGACTGTATATACTTAAAAAATGTATGTATTTTGGGTCAGTGTGGTTGGATTATGATATATTTACTATGTTTTAGATGTTTATTATTATGTTTGTGAAAGGAAGATTTTTTTTATTACTTTATTTCGGGCAGCACGGTGGCTAAATGGTTAGCACTTCCGCCTGGCAGTATAGGGTCGTTGGTTTGAGTCCCAACCACGGCACCAACTGCTTGGAGTTTGCATGTTCTCCCTGGGCCTGCGTGGGTTTCCTCCAGGTACTCCGGTTTCCTCCCACACTCCAAAGACATGCTGATAGGTTAATTGAATCCTGTCTAAATTGGCCCCAGTATGTGTATATATGAATGTGAGTTAGGGACCTTAGATTGTACACCCCTTGAGGGTTAGGGACTGATATGAATGTACAATATATATGTATGTAAAGTGCTGCGTAAATTGATGGCGCTATATAACTACCTGAAATAAATAAATATTACTATAATTACTCTATGGCTACCAATCAGAATCAAAACCTTATTCACCAACTTCTATTGTGGATCTGATTTTCTCTGATGCTATTAAATTTAGCCATTTTTAATGCATAACTGGTTTCTGTGATATCACAATAGAAAACATACATATACACATATGAGCCATAACATTATGACAAAAGTTAAGAGAATATCATTGATAATATCGTTACAATGGCATTCATAAGGGGGTGAGATATGTTAGGCAGCAAGTGAACATGTTGTCTCTGAACTTGATGTACTGAAAGCAGAAAAAAATGGGCAAGTGTAAGGATTTGAGCGAGTTTGGCAAGGGTCAAATTGTAATGGCTAGACGACTGGGTCATAAACTCCAAAACTTGTGGGATATTCCAAGCCTACAGTGGGCCAGGTCCTACCAAAAGTGGGTCGGGTCAGGGGGACCTACTCAGTATTAAGTGGGTGGTCATAATGTTATGGCGGGTTAGTATAAATGTAACATGAACTTTTATGCAATAAAACAGAGGCATACTTAGGAAATAATACAAATTTTCACTTCATGTCTTGCAAAATGTCTAGGTCATTAGTCTGATTGGGCTCACACAGTCACACAAAGCACAACAAAAGGTATGTGAGCTGGAGTGAGTTTGCATGCAACACGTTAATTCCGTGTTTGCTTCCCAGGGATTACTTTAGTATTATTTAGCCATATGGAAAGACCAGTATAATATTTATTTTTTTATTCACTTTCAATGTGCCATTGAACTGGATAGAAAATTTGACCACACCAAGAAGAGTCAACTACCTAGAACATCCCTCTCTCTCCTTGCCAGGGGCGGACCGACAACTCATGGGCCCCCGGGCAATAGGGGATAATGGGGCCCCTGTGTCCTTGCCAAAACTCAAAAAAGCCTATGAAAAAGGTACCAGGGGCGTCTCATGGGGCCCCCTACTGACCCGGCCCTCGGGCAGTGCCCTAATTTCCAAATGGTCAGTCTGCCCCTGCTCCTTGCACATGCTAGCTTACTCCTCTTCCAAGTGCTGTATGCGCTAGCCCAGTTCTTCCACCTTCCTCTTCACCTCCCTAAATACACTTCACACTCACACTTGAGTGACAGCTTTGAGCCTACTGAAGCTAATGACATCACATCCAAGATGGTAGCACATTGCAGAAGTCTTAAATATCTACAGAAAGACTTTTATATGTAAAAAAACATGCATAAAAATGTTAAATGCACATACAGTCCAATGTATTTTTGTTGAATCAAATGGTTTAGCAACTGTGTATCTTTAAAGACCGATTTTGTTCAATGCAATTAATTTTGAAATCCACAAGTGAAAAAAACTCATTTGTAATATGAAGAAATGTATGAAAAAGACTTTATTTAATACAGTTAACATAGCATGGAACGCTAATTATTTCCTCTCATAAGGCTATGTACAATACAGAATATGTAAATAAATACATGTGCCAGCAAGTTAAAGATAGGGTCTAAATAAAATATAGCAGTGACAATGACAAGTATAGTTCCATTAAGCATGAAGTTTTACATTTGTTTCAGGTGACTGAGCTTATTGTGTTTAGATTTTGCTACATAATCGCTCTTAAGCATGCTTGTAGATTAAGGACAAATATAACATTTTTCAGTTTTGGGTGGATGCTGATAGTTTAGTTTGCTCACTGACTTCTTATTGGTACGCCAACTGTGAAATTACCCCAGTGGATCCCCCAGCTCTGTTTCCCACTGTAGTCTTTTAGAAAGTTATAACTCTCATGAATGTTAGATTCTCTGGTATGTGCCATTTTGTTGTATAAATTGGGAAGGACTGGACACCATATGTGGAGGTCTTACACTGGAGAGATACACTTAGACATATATAAGCCAGAGGATAACTGTAGCAACATCAATCCAAAACTGTCCATTATATTTGGACTTACTCTTTAAATTGAATAATATACCATAGAGATGTCAACTAAACGATTGCAAACTGGCATACAAAAGGCAGTTCCTCTTTGCAATTTTTGTCAAACCACTTGCCATTTGCAGTAGCAGACAATGCTGCACAGTTCTCCTGTTTTCCACCATCAGGCTCCAAGGTTGTTCCGGTCTCCCAAAGTTTAAAGGAAATTCGACTGCCAGTCAAATCCACCCATGAACCCTCATTTGCCATGTCGTTGATGCCTATCCAGATTTCAGAGCTTATGCCTAAGCTCTTCCGCACATAATCATTCAAAAAGTCGTTCTCATCTCTGGTTTCTGGCGTACTCAGGATTCCACCTTGTGCAATGCAATCATCGCTGGCCTGGTGGTAGTTCTTTGGTTCAGAGACTGACAATAAGCATTTGTTGAGTGTTTTCGTGCCCTTCAAACAAACTGAAGAAACATATAATAAGTAACAAAGAACCATTAGTCTGAATTAGTATCTCATTCTTTATGAGTTGCCAATACTATATCAGGAGCAGGGGCGGACTGACCATTTGGAAACTCGGGCACTACCCAAGGGCCCGGGGTCAGTAGGGGGCTCCATGAGATGCCCCTGGTACCTTTTTCATAGGCTTTTTTTAGTTTGGGCAAGGACACAGGGGCCCCATGATCCCCTATTGCTTGGGGTCCCCATGAGTTGTCAGTCCGCCCCTGATCAGGAGGGTAACTAAAATGGTGTTTTTAAAATAGTAAAAATGTTATCTTGATTTTGGCCAGTTAGGATATGGAATTTATGGATACCTTCTTGAATTTGTTTGCTGCATCTCTTTAAATCCATTACTATCCCTCAGTTTCTACCTAGTGTAGGGTATAAGTAGGCCCCATTAAATTAATGGGCCAAAAAGGACATTTTCACAGACATATATAAACCTCAGCAGATTCACTTTTTAAAACTTAAACTCACTTCATTCTACTGCACCTCTCATACACTACTGCCCTTTTCTGCCCCCTATTCTTACCCCTCACACACAGCGCAAACCCTGCCACCCCTTCCAAAACCTATACTTGCATACAATGAATGTATGTGTGAGGAGGGGAGCTGAATGACATGGATGTAGGAGGGGGGCTGCATTGTATGGATATGTGTGTGGGGGTGGGCAGTGGGCTGCAATGCATACAAGTGTGAGAAAGGTGGAGGCAGCAGGCTACATTGTTCAATGCAGGCTGCGCCCCCTCCCTTGCACTCATATGTAATGCAGCCCCTTGCACCATGGGCTTTAGGAGAGGCTTCCTTCGTGGATGACACCCATGCATGCCATTCCTCTTCATTGTACATCATTTTGTGTCACGGGAAACAATCACCCCAGTTTGGCTTTCTACTTCTTAAGCTAACTGCAGTGAACTTGTATGGCCATTTTCTTAAACCCTTCTCATCAGAAGATGCTCCTGTTGAGGTGTTAACTTCCATGAACGGCCTGGACATCTCTGTGAGATGGTTGCAGTTCCATGTTTGTTAAATTTTTGTATCGCTTTTGCTACATTATTCTGACTGATAAGTAAAACTTTGCTGATCTTGTAGCCTTCATCTTTCTTGTGTAAAGAAATGATTTTCTTTCTCAGGCCTTGTGACATTTCTCTTCCATGTGGTGCCATTGCTGACAGCATGAAATGGGAAGGGGTTTTCTTTGTTAAGTAATGCCCTTTTATATTCAACTGTCTACTGGACACCTGTTTAATGAATAATTAAACTTCCCTGTAGTTGAATTCTTGTTAATTAGGATTTTGTTGTCTAAAATGTAGCTTTGCTCCCAAGACTTTTTTTGGGGTGTATTCATCTTTGCAACATGGACTTGAAAGAATTTGTTAGGAAAAATACTTTTTTGTGTGTGCAAATTATCCACTTTAGCTCCGCCCCATAGCAGAAATACTGCTACACAGGGTGGCAGCTGTGCTCAAAATCATGTATATATACATGTGATTTAGCATTTCCAAGTCGGGGGTGTGCGCACGCCCTACCCGCACCGCTATTCTTGGCCGCAGCTATCAATCACCCGGTTCTGACCAGTGATGACTCGCCGACGCCTGGTGATTGCTGAGGATCTCTGATGGGGGGAGAACTGTTAGTAAACAAAACAGTTCTCCTCCCTGTCAGCTCCTGCCCACTGCTTTGCAAGGCAGTGTGCTTACAGTGAAGCACAAACACAGAGCATGATGTAAAACGGCACACAGTACAGTGTGAGTGCTTTTTATTAGCACTGATCACTATATTGGTGTCACTGGGGATGTCAGTGACACCAAGTCAGTTCCCCCCAGTGTCAGAATGCCCGCTGCAGTCCCGTTATAAGTCGCTGATTGTCGCCATTACTAGTAAAAATACAAATACAAAAACAAATTTCAGTATATATATACCGCCATTTGTAAATGCCTTAACTTTCACATAAACCAATTAATTTACACATATTGGGATTTTCTTTTAGCAAAGACGTAGCAGATTACATGTTGGCCTAAATTTATGCCGAAATTAGATTTTTTACATTTTTTTTTACTGGACATGTTTAATAGCAAAAAGTAAAAAAATATGTTTTTTTTTCTCAAAATTGTCGGTCTTATTTTTTTTTTTTATAGCGCAAAAAATAAAAAATGGACAGGCAATCAAATAATACCACCTAAAGAATGCTCTATTCGTGGGTAAAAAGGACGTAAATTGAATTTGGGTGAATCGTTGCATGACCACGCAATTGTCATTTAAAGTAACGCAGCACCGTATCGCAAAAAATTGCCTGGTCAGGAAGGGGGGTAAATCCTCTGGAGGGCAAGTGTTTAACAAATCTTGTTTGTAATCAATGTGCCGCATTTGTGGGAGTATTTTGTAGACTGGGTAGTGTTTTAGGAACATAAGGATGCCCCATTGTTTGATGGAAATGAAAATAATCAACCTACAGAGGACTGAATTCAAAGACACCCCGAAAATCAAAGTGAAAAAATTATGCAGCAGGCTAGTCCATTTTGCTGAAATTTCATTGCAGCAACACAAAATAGTACTCAGTAGTTTGTATGGCCCCCACATTCTTGTATGTATGCCTGACAACCTCGGGGCATGCTCCTAATGAGATGACGAATAGTGTCCTGGGGTATTTCCTCCCAGATTTGGACGGGCAGCACTGAGCTCTTGGACAGTCTGAGGTGCAACCTGGTGGTGTCGGATGGACCAAAGCATGATATCCCACAGGTGTTCTACTGGATTTAGGTCAGGCGAGCATGGAGGCCATTCAATGGTGTAAATTCCTTCATCCTCCCCAGGAACTGTCTGCATACTGTCACCACATGAGGCTGGGCATTGTCGTGCACCAGGAGGAACCCAGGACCCACTGCACCAGCATAGGGTCTGACAAAGGGTCCAAGGATTTCATCCCGATACCTATTGGCAGTCAGGGTGCCATTGTCTAGCCTGTAGAGGTCTGTGCATCTCTCCATGGATATGCCTCCCCAGACCATCACTAACCCACCACCAAAACGGTCATGCTGAATGATGTTACAGGCATCATAACCTTCTCCACGGCTTCTCCAAACCCTTTCACTTCTGCACTTCAGACGAAGTCCGGAAGTGACAAAACGCATTAGGGGAGTGACGTAAAGATGCACGTACGTAGACCGGAAGTGTCGGCGTGGCCATTTTGTTGGTTTTCAACGCATGGTTTTCTATGGTGTTTGGTTGAAAAAGCTTGAAACCACGTCTGGAGCTGATAATTTTAAATCTTAATGTAAGTGATGAATAAAAAGTTATCCCTATGCTTGGAATACTAGTCCTGAGACCCTTCTTATCTCTCTGAGGACCTTGGAAAAAACGTATTGGAAGATAATGTGGAGGAATACTTTTCCATAGTATTGTTTGAGTATTTCAATACTCATAGAGGGTAATAGTATTTAGTACTACTGTGTGTTGGTTGATGGTAGACACTGAATTGCAGTGACCACAGAGTGCTCACAGTTTGATGTGTGTGATTATATGCACTATAAGAAAATAATTTGGATTTTTTTTTTTTTTTTTTTTTTCTTTGCACAAAAGGTTTTTTTGAAGTGTATTTTGGTTGCACGGGGTGATTATTTTTTATTATTATTATTATTGAGGTAATGCACTAGATATTATTATATTTTTTACTTCGAGGTGCGTTTTGGATGAAATAGGAGCCAATCCTTTCAGTGGATGAAAAGAGTGAATAAATTTGGGATATTTGTGGACACTATTTTGGACTTTCTTTTTGGACACTTTTTTGATTAGTGGGACTTTGTTGCACATTATATGTTTTTAAAATCAATTTATTTATTTATTTTATTTATTTCTGTAATTCACAAAAAGGTTGTATATATACATTTCAGAGATGGACTTATGGAACAGGTGGCAACCTATCACGGTAGCGTGCCTGAATTCACTGAGTTCCTGAGAGCGACCCATTCTTTCACAAACGTTTGTAGAAGCAGTCTGCATGCCTATGTGCTTGATTTTTATACATCTGTGGCAGGGGCAGACTGACAACTCATGGGGCCCCTGGGCAATAGGGGATCATGGGGCCCCTGTGTCCTCGCCAACACCCAAAAAAGCCTATAAAAAAGCCAATGCAAGGTACCAGGGGCATCTCATGGGGCCCCCTACTGACCCCAGGCCTTCCAGCAGTGCCAGAGCACTTGAATGATCAGCCCAGCCCTGATCTGTGGCCATGCAGGTGATTGGAACACCTGAAACCAATGATTTGGAGCGGTGTCCCAATACTTTTGACAATATAGTGTATTTCCTTATTGAATGTTGACGCAAAAATATTTGCTAATATCCTAGCCAGTCATCTTTCCAAGGTGATTAAGGACTTCACTGATATCGACTAAACAGGGTTTATGCCGGGCAAGGGAGCAGACATTAATATCAGACACTTTTTCCTGAACCTTTCTATACCATATGTTGATTCTGGTACCAGGGTTATTGCTTTCATGAATGCCAAAAAGGCATTTGAATCAGTAGAGTGGGACTATCTTTGGGAGGTCCTCGGCCGCTTTGGCCCAAAATTTCTCATTGGCTCCATGTTTATAGAGCGCAGGCCCGCACCAATGACAGGCTTTCTGAGTCCTTTTCACTTCATTGCATTACACGCCAGGGCTGCCCGTTGTCCCCCAGCCTCTTTGGGGGACCAAACCCTTGGGGAACCCCTGGTCATATTGATCAGGGAGTCTTTGGAAGTCCAGGATCTGTGGGTGGGGGCTCTGTAGGAAAAATCTATCCCTTTACACTAACGATGCCCTGTTGAACCTCAATGAAGAGGTCCCTGTTGGTTATTGGTATTACCATCCTTATTACATAAAGTACAAGTCCTTTGCTGCCATCTGGAGTTCGTGCATGAAATTATCATGCTTGATAAACCTATGTACCGGTATGTGTATACAGTCATGGCCGAAATTGTTGGCACCCTTGATATTTCTCCAGGAAATCATGTATTTCTCACGAAACGTATTGCATTAACACATGTTTTGCTATACACATGTTTATTCCCTTTGTGTGTATTGGGACAAAACAAAAAAAGGGAGGAAAGAAAGCAAATTCGACATAATGTCACACAAACCTCCAAAAATGGGCTGGACAAAAGTATTGGCACCCTTTCACAACTGCGGATAAATAAGAATGTTACAAGCATGTGATGCTCCTGTAAACTCACCTGGGGCAAGTAACAGGTGTGGGCAATATAGAAATCACACCTGAAAGCAGATAAAAAGGAGAGACGTTCACTTAACCTTTGCATTGTGTGTCTGTCTGTGCCACACTAAGCATGGACAACAGAAAGAGGAGACGAGAACTGTCTGAGGACCTGAGAACCAAAATTGTGTGGCAAAATATCAACAATCTCAAGGTTACAAGTCCATCTCCAGAGAAACTAGATTTGCCTTTGTCCACAGTGCGCAACATTATCAAGAAGTTTGCAACCCATGGCACTGTAGCTAATCTCCCTGGTCGTGGACGGATGAGGAAAAAATTGATGAAAGATTGCAACGCAGAATAGTCCGGATGGTGGATAAGCAGCCCCCAAACATGTTCCAAAGACATTCAAGCTGTCCTGCAGGCTCAGGGAGCATCAGTGTCAGCGCGAACTATCCGTCGACATTTAAATGAAATGAAACGCTATGGCAGGAGACCCAGGAGGACCCCACTGCTGACACAGAGACATAAAAAAGCAAGACTACAGTTTGCCAAAATGTACTTGAGTAAGCCAAAAGCCTTCTGGGAAAACGTCTTGTGGACAGATGAGACCAAGATAGAGCTTTTCGGTAAAGCACATCATTCTACTGTTTACCGAAAACGGAATGAGGCCTACAAAGAACAAAACACAGTACCTACGGTAAAATATGGTGGAGGTTCAATGATGTTTTGGGGTTGTTTTTGCTGCCTCTGGCACTGGGTGCCTTGACTGTGTGCAAGGCATCATGAAATCTGAGGATTACCAAAGGATTTTGGGTCGCACTGTAGGGCCCAGTGTCAGAAAGCTGGGTTTGCGTCCAAGATCCTGGGTCTTCCAGCAGGACAATGACCCCAAACATACGTCAAAAAGCACTCAGAAATGGATGGCAAAGAAGCGCTGGAGAGTTCTGAAGTGGCCAGCAATGAGCCCAGATCTAAATCCCATTGAACACCTGTGGAGAGATCTTAAAATTGCTGTTGGGAAAAGGTGTCCTTCCAATAAGAGAGACCTGGAGCTGTTTGCAAAGGAAGAGTGGTCCAAAATTCCGGGTGAGAGGTGTCAGAAGCTTATTGATGGTTATAGGAAGCGACTGATTTCAGTTATGTTTTCCAAAGGGTGTGCAACCAAATATTAAGTTAAGGGTGCCAATACTTTTGTCCAGCCCATTTTTGGGGTTTTGTGTGACATTATGTCATATTTGCTTTTCTGCCTCTGTTTTATATTTGTTCCAATACATACAAAGGGAATAAACATGTGTATAGCAAAACATGTGTTAATGCAATACCTTTTTTGTGTGAAATACTTGATTTTCAGGAAAAATATCAAGGGTGCCAACAATTTCGGCCATGACTGTATATAGGTCCACAAATTCAGGTGAGCTGCCATCCTATTCCAGGTGGAGGGGCACTGAATGCAATTTGGTGTGCAGCACTATATACCAGTGGAAGCACAAGAGTTTATAGCCATTTGGCTTATTGAGCACTGAGAGACTTGTATTACACTATTTTTGCACTATTAAGCACTGTTTATTTTTGATGTTTTACCACTAATTTGTAATTTATTTATGTGTGTTATATGTATAAATGTTTATATGTTTTATGGAGTTGCGCAACACTAATTCATTATAATTTTACATTGTGGGAACATTTTAAGTGTTTTTGCAGCAACTTGACACATTATTGAATTAACACATTGTTAATTCAATAATACTCTGTTAGGTCTATATTTAACATTGTGGTAGACCACATTGTTTTTTAAGTTTTTTATAGAGCCCCTCACAATGTACTGCCTGGGCTGACCTCCAGCTGATTCTCCTGGGCGTATCAACCTTATCAAAATGATGTATTTGCCTAAATTTAACTATATTTTCCTGAAACTGTCCTATCTGGGTCCCTTCTTCTTCTTTCAGTGATCTTGATAAATATGTGAGCTCCTTTATTTGTAATGGCTCTAAGCAACTTATTCACTCCCTTGTTATATCACGCCTCAACTACTGTAACTCCCTCCTCATTGGTCTACCTCATCGTATGCTATCCCCCCTCCAGTCTATCATGAACGCTGCTGCCAGACTCATCCACCTCACTAACTGTTCTGTATTCACCAACCCTCTCTGCCAATCCCTCCACTGGCTCCCAGTTGCCCAACGGATAAAATTCAAAACACTAACAATGACATATAAAGCCATCCACAACACTGCTCCAATTTACATAACCAATCTTATTTCTAAATATCACCCAAACCGCACATTCCACTCCTCACAAGACCTCTTACTCTCTAGCTCCCTTATCTCCTCCTCCCATACTCATCTCCAAGACTTCTCCAGGGCATCACCCATCCTCTGGAACTCCCTACCCCAATCTATCAGACTATCACCTACTCTACTTGCCTTTCAGCGATCACTGAAAACTGTCCTCTTCAGGGAAGCCTATCCCGCCCTCTGCTAATTTTGGAATCCTCTACTCTTCCAACCACTCCATCCCCCACAGTGACTACCTACTGTACCATTCACCCCTCCCTCCTAGATTGTAAGCTCCAAGGAGCAGGGCCCTCAAATCCCTCTTGTATTGAACTGTATTGTTACTGTATAGTCTCCCACTATAATGTAAAGCGCTGAGCAAACTGTTGGCACTATATAAATCCTGTATAATAATAATGGCTCCCTTTCCCGTTTGGTGAAATCTACCCTTTGGCTTCCGCCCTGGCTAGGGGACTGGCCTTACCAAAATTTTCAACTATACTTTTGGGCAGAGGTACTAGTCTCAGTTTACTGGTGTCTTGTGAGCTCTAAATCTAATGCTGCAGTGTGCTTGAGGTGGCATTCCTGAGATCTTTGTCCGATTTACGTAATTTTGTATATAGAGGGCCAAGAGGGTTCCTGAACTGAAGCACACCATTTGGAGGGTGTGGGTGGCTGCCCGGCGTCACTTTACGAGTCAGAACCAGTGGTCTCCAGCTGCTTTGGGGCAACCCCTCTCTCTCCCATTTCCGTACTATTCTAACCCCCAAATCTGGACGAGGTGTGGTTTTAAAACTTTGGCTGATATTATGCCCCAGGGGGCCCTCTTGCCTTGTCTCCAACTCTCCTCCTCTGTCCGACTGCCAGCTAGAATATTTTTCATATATCTCCAGCTGTGACCCACTGCGAGAGCTCAATTTCCCCATATGCCTATCCTCCAGGCTGACCCTATTGAGGAATTGCTAGTCCCGGGAGACTTGGGTAAACCTCTCTTGGCCCTGTATGGGCCATTAACTCCCCCAAACTTGAATGTATGTGGGAGAAGTGGAAGGAAGATATCCCATCTTTAGATAGGGAGGATTGGGAGGAAAGTCTGGAACAAGGCCCTAAACTAGTTATCTCTTCTAGGGATAAATTGATCCAGGTCAAATTTCTCCAGGGTCTACTGTACCCCTCTGAGACTTAATAAGATATACCCTGACCGTGACCATATTTGTCCCCGCTGCCATATACACCAAGGGACCAATTTTCATATGTTTTGGCCATGCCCTGTCATTATGACCTATTGGTCTGATGTTTTTGCAAAGATTGATCTTCGGTTGCAATTGTCTCTACCTACCTATCTGGAGTTGGTCCTACTGGGTATTCATGAGGATCACCAGTGTTCACATCATGCCAAACCTCTGATCTCTTACTTGTTGTTCTATGCTAAAAAGGAGATACTGTTAAAATGGTCCTCATCAACTCCCCCTGAAACTATCTGCCTGGGAGTCCTAGTGCATGCGGCTTTGTTGATGTATAAACTTACCTATATTAATCATGGTTACCCTTGGAAGTATGATAAGGAATGGTCTCCATGGACATCTGACCAGTGATTCTCCTCCCTCCGCCAATCCTTGGGTTGACTTCCCTCACCCCCCCCCCCCCCCTACTTTTTTTTTTTTCCCTTCCCTCATATTTCCTTACCCCCATCCCTCCCCCTCCCCCTTCCTTATCCTTTCTTTTCCCAAGAATATGGCAGTGCCCCTACCCTCCTGCTCTTTTACCT